TCTCTCTCTATCTCATTCTCTCTCTCAAATAAATAAATAAAATCTTTAAAAAAAAAAGAGAGAGAGAGATTGAGAGAGAGAAAGAGCACACACCAGTGCGGGGAGAGGCAGAGGGAGAAGCAGACTCCCCGCTGAGGGCACTCTGGGCTTATCCAAGGACCCTGGGATCAGGCCTGAGCCGAAGGCAGACACTTAACTGACTGAGCCACCCAGGTGCCCCATAAGTCTTTTTGTAAAAAACATATATATCCCTGAGCCAAATGTTCCTTCCCCAGAGCACTCTCTTCTTTGTGCAGACTGTGTCCTGGGCACCTGCCCTAACTTGGGCTCGAATAAAACTCTTTTCCTTTCTCTTTAAAAAATTTTAAACGGTTTGTTCGTTTTGCATCATTTCTTGGCGTAGTCAACAGGATATCAGAGCAACTTGCCTGAGAACACCTGGGGATCATCTAGAACTCAGCGCTTGGTACGAGCACGGACCCTCTGTGCCCCTCCAGCTCCTCAGCACCTCACAGGTGTATCTGGTGAGGTCCTGATACCTGGACCTCTTCAATTTGAGTGAATAGTCCTGATTTTTATTTGAACTGTTAAAGGTTACCGGTAATGTTCTTTAGGTGGGAACAACCTGGGACGGGGGGAAGTTGATGGGTTGGTTGTTTTAATTTGGCATTATACTAATGGATGTTATTAATATATAAGGCTTGAGTAAATTTTCTCCATAGAAATATGAGAGAGTGAATAACTCAGCTCCAAAGAGAAGGGACGCTTGCTCCTTCGAGTTAAATGGTGCTTTCAGGTGAATGAAAGCCTAGCAGAAGTGTCTGAAGATATTCCTCAGACATGCAGCAGTCCCATAGGAATTTCCCATCTCATAAAGTGATTAATGATTGGCTCATCCAGGGATGCACACATAAGGATTGATCATGCAGTGTTCCAAGCCCCTCAATGGTCCTAGACCTTACAAGGAGAAACCGAGACACAGAGTGTATTACGGCCATTTCTAAGTAACACTCACAAGCAGCACCCTCTTGATCCACCACTCTTAATATCCTTAGATCTTATTCAAGCCTTATTCTAAAAATAAAACCAAAACTAAAAGGAATGGGGAACTGTGCTTCAAAAGCCAGAACAACACTCATAAAACCAATAACCCCCCATGGAAAATTCAGGCAGGCTAATCGTACATACATACAGAGCCTATACTTGCAAGGCTTGCTTCAGTGGGAAAAGGTAAGGATAAGAGGAAGCGGGTGCCTGGGTGGCTCAGTTGGTTAAGCGACTGCCTTCGGCTCAGGTCATGATCCTGGAGTCCCGGGATCGAGTCCCACATTGGGCTCCCTGCTCAGCAGGGAGTCTGCTTCTCCCTCTGACCCTCCCCCCTCTCATGTGCTCTCTCTCTCTCAAATAAATAAATAAAATCTTTAAAAAAAAAAAAAGGATAACTGGAATCTCGGACGGCCGCAGTGGGGTTCTTTTGACATGTCTGAATTAGTTTTTTTGTGTGCACAATTGCAGAAAGCCAACTATAAGACTAAGTAACCAGAAACTCGGAAGCCATTTGGTTGAGTCAGTGAAGTCCCCAACTTTTGGGGAAGAACCAGCAATCCCAGAGGTACTCTGAGCTTTATTTGGTTTGTTTGTTGCTACAGCTTTTGGTATCTTTGCATACAACTGGCCATGTTCTAACTGGAAATGGAAAATAACTAATAAATGGATCCATAAATTATAATGCTATCTTACAAGTAGATTTAATAAAAAGGGGATATTTGGAAATTGGGTCTTTAATGTCCTCTGCACAAATAATAGTGAAACAAAGGCTAAATTTTGTTTGCATCTTGTTTGTATACATGTATCTATGTGTTATAAATGTGAGGTATTTTCTCTATCTCTGGATGGTATTGCTAAAACTAACTTGTAGAGGAGCTCTATTTAATTGGTTTAAAGGCAAGTGCTTGTGAAAATTGCCCATTTTAAAACTCAAAAGGATAAAAAGTAACCCAGATGCTTTTCAAGTTCATATGATCTGGGGTAAAATTTCCTACATTCAGACTTTTATGTTACTCCATAATAAAGATGCATCATAGGAAGGAACCAGATTGATGGTCCAAAGAGGTACAGATGAACAAAAATTTAAGACACCTGACCCCCTTCCCAATGATCAGAATAATGAGGAAAAGGAGGAGGAAATAGGCAGACTCTAGAAATCCTAAATCCACACCCCCTCCTCCAAGCACAAGCACCAGAACCAATGCCCAACCCACTGCCTGCTCTTCTTCCAGAGGGCTACAAAGCACCCAGAGGAAAAGACAGGAAATAGAGAATTTTTTTAAAAGATTTTTATTTTTACTTTTAAGTAATCTGTATACCCAACGTGGGGCTTGAACTCACAACCCTAACATCAAGAGTTGCATGGGATGCCTGGGTGGCTCAGTGGGTTAAGCAGCTGCCTTTGGCCCAGGTCTTAATCCTGGTGTCGTGGGATCGAGCCCCACATTGGGCTCCCTGCTCAGCGGCGAGTCTGTTTCTCCCTCTCCTGCTCTCCCTGCTTGTGTGTTCTCTCTCAGATAAATAAATAAAATCTTAAAAAAATAAAAATACAATACAGGAGGCCTCTGAACCCTGGACACAACATATATATCTGTTTGCTGCTCCAGTCTGTTTTCAGCTGCAGTTTTGTGTGGGGCCCACGCAGCAGGTCCTGGGTACAAAGCAGGCTGCTCTGGGCCTTGGGCCCTATTACCCAGAAGATCCAATGATGCCACTGGATAGAACAGAATATAATGCTAGTTTCGAAGCAGCCTCTCTGCGCACCCTCAAAGTTCCAGCAAAAGCCATGGTTCAGCCTTGGGAGAGGCCCAAGCCCCTCCCCCAGCCCCTAGGCCCTTGTAAATCCACCCCTTCTCTTTTGCACCCCAGTCCTAGAGGTAGTAAGTGCTCTATGGTTATCCATCTCTGGGTTTTCAGTATTCACTTGTGTTCCTTCAGCCTTACAAAGCTAACTAATCAATTCCCTCAAAATCCCGAGGGAGGGTGATTTAGCGGCCTGCCTCCCACCTGAGACAGCCCCCTTCTGGCCCACCTCCCACCCATCAAGTGGGCCAGATGCTCCTCCCGCCCTGTTGCAGGGAGATACTAGTGGTCAGGTTTGGGCTGTCTGTACCAGCCTCTTCTCCCCTCGCCGAGGGCCAGCTTGAAGCCTCCCAACTCAGCACTCAGGGTGCAGGTGGAGAAGTCCCTGCAAAGCACTGGATACGGATGCTCAGTGACCTTTGTGACAGAAATTGCTACCCCAGCAGACAGCCAAATAGGGTCCTCATCAGCTGCGAGCCCTCAGGCCTATCTGGTCCCCTCTGGGGCTCCGCTCCGGAGACAAGGTGAGAAGGAACTTTCCAAGCTACAAAGGTTTCACTAATCAGGGTTGTAGCTCCACGCATTCCCTCTCCCTGCTTCTCTCACAAGCTTAATGCTGGAGGCTGCCGATCCCAGACCCAGGAGCAGAAGGAAGCACAGCGCATCCAGTGGCAGCCAAGGGCAGAAAGAGGCTCCCTAAAATGGTGGTGGAGGCGGGAAGACCGTCAAACCCGCAGACGCCAGGGGAGACCCCAGAGCACACAGTGGGGCAGGCCAGGACAATCCTGGTATGGGAAGCGAGAAGGGTGGTGGTGGCCAGGCCAGAGAAGCGGTCCTGTGCAGACTGAGCATGTCCCCCACCGCATTCCAGAGAGGAGACACAGACACACCACCTTCCAGAGAGGCTCTAGTGAGGGTGCTAGATGGAGCTGGTGCTCACCCCCCAGGGAGGATAGTGCAGTGGACGCCACAACTGTGGAGAGAACAGGAGGGAGGGGCACGTGGGGGGAAGCACCTGGGAGGGGAGGATGGCAGAACCACCCCCACTCTTCCCCTTTGCCCTAGGCCTCCTGCTGCTCACCAGGGTCCCAGAGCAAGGCCTCTGACCTTCTGGCCCTTGGCCTAAAACAAAAAATCCTGTGCAACCTCAGATCCAGCTGAGGTGGAGGGGAAGCAGGGGAGGGGACTCACCTAGCCCTCGCTCCTGGGGATCCACCACGCCTGTGGCAGCCTCCAGTTTCTGCACGGATGCACCCCTCCCAGCACCGAAATTCACTGCCTTTACCCTGTGAATCACCTCCCCGCCACGCATCCGCAGCCAGGCCCCAGGGGGCCACCAGGTGGGACTGCCATCGTCCCAGGGGCTGTTTTAACGGCTTAATCCTCTGTCCCAATTGTTGCTGCCCCTGCGCTCCAGCACGCAGCCCACACGGGGCGGGTGGGGGTGGATGGCGATTTTACACGACGCTGCTCATCCTGATCCACGATGGCCACGTCCTGTGCCTCGCGCGCCACCGAGCTGGCCCAGCCTCACCATCTCCCAGGGCCATCCCAGAGTCAGGGCGCGGCACCGCCCGCGTGTCGCTTCTGGTGTTCATTGAGGTTGGAGCGGTGACTGAAGGGCTTGCTGCACACACTACGCACATAGGGCCGCTCGCCCGTGTGCGCGCGCTGGTGCTGCAGGTGCTGCGAGCTCTCGCGGAAGCTCTTGCCACACTCCGCGCAGGCGAAGGGCCTCTCGCCGCTGTGTGTGCGCGGGTGCTACCGCAGGCCCGCCGCGCGCAGGAAGGCCTTGCCGCAATCGGGGCACGTGTGCGGCCTTGTGCCCGCGTGGATCTTCAGGTGCTCCGCCAGATTGGAGCTCTGGCTGAAGGCCTTGCCGCAGGCAGGGCAGGTGTGGGGCCGTGCACCCATGTGCACACGCCGGTGCTCCAGGAAGTTGGAGTTCCAGCAGAAGGCTTTGCCGCACTCGGGGCATTCATAGCGCTTCTCACCGTGTGCGGGCGCCGATGCTGCACCCGTGGAGTGCTGCGGCCGAAGGCCGCGCCACAGTCTGGGCAGTCGAAGGGCTTCACGCCGCTGTGCGTCTTCTGGCGGTGGATGAGCTGCGAGTGTGCGCGGAAAGCCTTGCCACACTCCGGCACGAGTAGGGCCTCTCGCCCGTGTGGATGCGCTGCTTCTGGCTGAGGTTGGAGCTCCAGGCGAAGGCCTTGCCACACTTGGTGCACATGTATGGCTTCTCGCCCGTGTGCACTCGCCTGTGCTGCACCGGGTAGGAACTCCGGCTGAACGCCTTGCCACACTCACTGCACCGGCAGGCCGGCTCCCTGGGGAGAGGCCAGGGGCTTGGCACCAGGTTTTCTCGGATGCTTCTGGGCCCGACCCAGTCTCTCCCACGGTCTGCGGGCTCCAGCTCCCCTCTGGAGGCCCCCTGGTCCTCTGCCTCTGTGGGGTCTTCCCAGGCCCCCAGGCCTCCAGATGCAGCCCCCTCAGAAGGGTCTGTTGTGTCAGTCTTCAGCACAATCCAGGGAGTGTCGCCTTTCCCTAGAGCCACCTGCTGGGCCCTCTGTCCTAGGGACTTGACCTTGCTTCTGTCCTCTGAAATGGGGAGAGAGAGAAAGCAAATGCCTGAGAGCTCAAATGGGGTGGAGGGGACGAGTGGGTCTCAGGAATGATGTGATTTTGACAGATCTAGAGCAGGGGCAAAGCTTGGGGCTGGCTGTATTGGGGCATGGCCATCACCCCCACCTTTCCTGAGCTGGTGCCCCTGGCCCCTCTTCAGCCTGGAACAGGGAAACAGGGCAGGTGGGCCTAGAGATGCTCCAACTTTCCCCATAGAGGCAGCATCCCAGGCCAACTCTGAGTCAAACCGTGGCCTTGTTGAGCTTTGACAACCCAGCCTATGATGGAGGCGTGCTAGGAGACCACTGTGCCTGCCTCTATGGTCACTTCCCACACATCCCTGCACCTGACTGGGCAGGTGTGAACTTGAGGGCATCAGTCTAACTCTGGAGTCTGAGCCAAGACCACCAAGCTCCCACCATCCTTCTCCCACAGCACCCCCACTCCACCAGCACTAGCTAGGGACTGTAAGCCAGGCTCAGGAGGAAGCAGACCCAGCCCCGACCCAGCTGGCCCTCACCTGGAGTTCTGGCCTGGCCAGCTCCTGGCGCAGCCCCTGGACCAGGGCAGCGGCCTCCTCAGGGCTGCCTGGCCGCTGTCCCTTCACACGGGCCTGGATCTCAGGGGACAGTGCGCACAGGAACTGCTCCAGCACCAGGAGCTCCAGCATCTGCTCCTTGGAGTGCGCTCCCAGAGCCGGGCCAGGGCCTCACGAGGACCCTCTTCCTCCTCATAGCGGAACCCCCAGAAGCGCTGGCCAGGGGTCTCAGAGCTGGGCTCACCCACCACTGGGGCTGGTGTGCTCTGAAGGACCCCAGGGGCCAGAGCTGATGCCTTGCTCATCTGGGCAGCCATCATGCCCCTTCCCAGGCAGGGCAGCCACATGTCCCTGGGCACTTCCTCTGGACCTGGAGACACAAAGGGGAGTCTGTGAGCACAGCCAGGCCATGAAGGCCCCTCCAGAGGACCCTTTGAGAATAAGTGGGGTCTGCGGGTTGGGGTGATTGTGTTTATCAGCGAGTCCAGAAGTGTCCCCACCTGTGTGTCCATCTGTTGGAGAGATATACGGAGGTGCCCAGTCTGTGGTCCCTCCTCCCTCCCTGCTTTTCTCAGGGGCCTCTGCCCTGGCTTCTTCAACTACTTGGCTCCATTCATCCCCCACACAGAACACTAAAGTCTGCAAACTGGACAGCCAGATTTGGCTAACAGACAGATTTTACCTGACTGCCCCCTTCCAACACGCTTTTTTAAAAATTTAAATGAGGGGCGCCTGGGTGGCTCAGTTGTTAAGCGTCTGCCTTCGGCTCAGGTCATGATCCCAGGGTCCTGGAATCGGGCCCCACATCGGGCTCCCTGCTCAGCGGGAAGCCTGCTTCTCCCTCTCCCACTCCCCCTGCTTGTGTTCTTGCTCTCGCTGTGTCTCTCTCTGTCAAATAAATAAATAAAATATTCAAAAAAATAAATAAAATAAAAATTTGAATGAGTTTCCAATGTTAAAAAGTAACCAGATGCTGGTGGGAATGTAAAATGGTGTGGCCTATGTGGAAAACACTCTGGCATTTCCTTAGATGGTTAACACAGTTCCTTAAATAGTTAAACACAGAGTTCCCAAGTGACCCAGGAATTCTACTCTTAGGTATCTACCCCCCCACCCCCGGCAAAAAAATGAAAATGTGTCCAGGCAGCTTTTTTGCACACAAATGAAAACAAAGAGCTATACAACCTACTTTGGGGTATCCTTTTTCCATTTTTTTCCTCCTTAATCTTGTGTGTATTTTCAAATTTTTTAAAAATACAGATCTGTGCCAGTACTAGGGGTGAGGAAACTGTTGCTAAGGAGAATTGAGCTTTCCCCCATTTCTTTTTCTCTCTTCCTCTTTCTTTCTCCTGGTCAAAGTTTTAAATATATCAAGAAGTTGAGGAGAAAAAAAAAGTATCCATGCAAAAGTTTGCACATGAATGTCATAGCAGTATTACTATAATATATAATACATATATATGTGTAATATATAATTACCATAATAGCCAAAAAGTGATAATAGGCCCATGACCATCAACTGATGAATGGATAAACAAAATGTGGTGGATACCTACAATCAGACATTATTCTGCCATAAAACGGAATGAAACACAGATACATCCTATAAGATATATGAACCTTGAAAACACTATGCTAGGGGCACCTGGGTGGCTCAGTCGTTAAGCGTCTGCCTTTGGCTCAGGTCATGATCCCAGGGTCCTGGGATCGAGCCTCGCATCGGGCTCCCTGCTCGGCGGGAAGCCTGCTTCTCCCTCTCCCACTCCCCCTGCTTGTGTTCCCTCTCTCGCTGTGTCTCTCTCTGTCAAGGAAATAAATAAAATCTTAAAAAAAAGCACTATGCTAAATGAAAGAATCAAGACACAAAAGACTTCACATTGTATGATTCTATTTATCTGAAATGTCCAGGATAGGCAAATCTGTAAGAAACAGGAAGTAGATTAGTGGCTGCCAGGAGCTGGGGAAGAAGGAATGGGGAGTTTGATTAATGGGTATGGAGTTTATTTTAGGGTGATGAAAATGCCCTGGAATTAGACTGTGGTGATGGCTGCACAAAATGTGAATTTACTAAAAAAAGTGACTGTACACATTAAAAGGGTTAATTTAAAAAAAGTCATCAGCCAATTTCAAAAGATTACTTATTATATGATTACATGTATATAACATTCTTGAAATGACAAAATTGTAGAAATAGAAAACAGAAAACCAAGGGTTAAGGAGGGGGTGGAGGCGGGAGGGAAGTAGGTGTGGCTAAAATGGCAACAGGAGGAATCGCAGGTGGTGGAGATACTCAGTATCCTGACTCCCATTTGAGTGTCTTGGTTATCATGCTGTAGTTTTGCAAAATGCTACCACTGGACAAAACTGGGTAAAGGGTACATGGGATCTATTTGTATTATTTCTTACAGATGTGTTTATAATTAGCTCAAAAAAAGTTTTTTTTACAAGTCATCAGAATTCAATAAAAATCCTTATTTATTTTTTTTAAGATTTTATTTATTTATTTGACAGAGAGAGACACAGCGAGAGAGGGAACACAAGCAGGGGGAGTGGGAGAGGGAGAAGCAGGC